TTAAATTTATTTAAAATCGTGCAATCCTTAAATATTAAAATTTAAGAAATGTTAAAATTGGATTATATTTGTGTATGTGTAAATTGAATTTGGACTTGTAAATTTGTTCTCAATAAAATTTTGAGTTAGATTATATAACTAAATTTTTGGACCTAAAGAGTAATATAACATTTTGGAATTAAAAAAAATAGTAAAATAAGAATAAAAAATGCAAAAATTTTATTTGTACAATTTTGAATAGATACATTTATACATATATTATAAGAAAAGGCATTGGCATTTTCCATTTAAGATAAATATATTTTTCAACTCGAGATATTTCTATAAGTTTAAAAAATCCGGAAGCTTTTGTGAGAGATTTAGGGAAAGATTGAGAATAAAATTTTGCATAAATATTAAAAATAATGATTGTGAGACTGACCAATGTATTTAGCGGGTAAACTTTTTTTTACAATGATATGTATGTATTGTATAAATACATAAATATCTCTAAATGTGCGTGTGTGTATAGAGGTGAGATTATACGATTAATTTTTTATTTGTGCAAATATTAATTGCGATTAGATACAATATAAGCGACGACTGCTATAAAATTAATATATTATTATTAATATATTATGTTGATCAAGAAATTCATTCGTCTTTCTTATGTAATTTTTACAAATAAAGTCAATAATGAAAGAGATATTAACGAGAGAGAAAAATGTTAATAAAACAAAATACGAATGGACTTTTTGATCAAGAAATTTATATTATATACATATATATTATATGATTATTATCTCGCGTTATGGTTATTATTATTACATATATATAGGGCCAGTTTCACCATCATCAGTTAGCTTAATCGGCCGTTAACTGATCAATCGCGTTTGCTGTTTAGTAGAATCGACCAATTGCAATTGACAGTTAATCACGATTAAAGCTTGATCGGCGTTGGTGAAACCGGCTCATATACAGCGCATTTGTATATATATGTATAAAATAATTCCAATCATTGTGTATAATTAAGGATATTATACCTATTATGTACATTTTTATAGGGGGATATTAATAATTATCATTTATTATATCGCGCTCATCAGCGATAATCTCGTCGGTTCTCGGTAGGCCGAAAGCATCCTTTCGAATTTTGGCCGGAATATTGTGCAACGGACGGGACGATCGGTCCTTTTTATAAAATAAGAAAAGAAATACGCCACCTTGTATCCATGTACAACTTTGTAATAAATCATTTATTTGTAAGCGAGCAGCTCCATTCTCCTTCAAATCTGTTTTTGTAGAGAAAAAGGGCATCTGATAATTAAATTGTACTTAACATTTGTGAGATATATTATTTGCATATAATATTTTTTGACATAATTTTTAATTGTGTTAAGTCTCAGCTTTATGCAATGCAGGGCATGTATTTGAAATACTTTTATCTAAAACACATTATTTGCAATACAAGTATACAATTTTGTACTTTGCATTTTCGCGGAGCACATAAAAGTATTTTACATTTAAAATCGAGCACATGAAAGTATTTTATATTTAAAATCGAAAGATTAAAGGTTTTTTGTATTTTATAATTCAAATAATAAGATTGATTGTCAATCTTAGTATTTAAAATTCAAGTTACAAAATACTTTTAATCTTTCGTTATTAATACTGAAATATAAAATACAAAATACAATTGTCTTAAAATATTGTTTTCCAAATAAAAGTATTTCAAATACATACAGCCCTGATGTTATTACATTAGCTTTTTAATGTTTATAATTTTTTATAGCTAAAAATATAGAATTTTATCAATTTCTAATTCGTCGCTTTTATCAGCAAAGTGTATCGAGATGGGCTGCATTCAATCGAAAAGGGCCCCGAATTTTTTTAATACGCACTTGATGGTGATCCCGTCGATAACATAACGACCAATCGTTTAAATCAACTTACTGCTCGCTAAATCAGAGGTCGACGTTATCGCCCAGCTTTTATCTTTCGTGCGATTCGTGCATAATAACTTTTGCGGTCACGAATTGGTCTTTTTACGGAGTGTCTAATTATTTTGAGATTGAGAATCATCGAAAGCTCATTAGAAATATGATTAATCGTATCCGACCCCGTCTCGTAACCTTCGATGTGACTGGTACATTGCTGATGACCAAATTCGAGGAAAATTATATCAAGATTGGCTCTCAGCACGGTTTACTTATCGAGCCAAGAAAATTAGCGCAAAGTTTCAAAAATAATTTCGCTCAGCTTAGCAAGGAGCACCCGATATACGGCAAGCACACTGGGTTGGGATGGAAAAACTGGTGGAGAATGATCGTACATAATGTGTTTAAAGAGCAGCATGCCTCTGTGTCGACAGACACGTTGGATAAGGTAATATTAATGATAATAATCTATTGTAACATTCTTTTTTTCTACCTCTATCACTACAATTATTCGATGTATTCTCTTATGACATCTGAAGATGGCTCAAACTATCAGCCGAAACATGTTATGTTATGATAATTGTTTCAATTTTAATTTAATTTAATTGCGATTTTTATTTCTTAACTTTTTAATTATTTTAAAACTTTTTTGTTATTTGTGCAAATTTTATAACCGACTCTTAACATGCCCTTTCTATTTTATTTATATTGTTAATTTGACATCAAGAGTCCTTGTATTGATTAATTTATCTTTATTTCAGGTAGCTGTTTTTTAAATTTATTTATTCGTAGCCATTTGACAACATTTTATTGTTGCAACTTGTGGTTTACTTTTATTCAATCATTACAAATCATTTAATAATAAAGCTAAAACTCCATTATTGAAAATTAGTTTTTTTTTCTTTTCTATTCTACTTATTTTCTATTAATTGATTCTATTATTTCGTTATTGAATTATTATATGCAAAGACCTTTGATTTTATTTATTATTTTCTTTTCTAGGTCGCTGACAGTCTCATAAGCTGCTATAGTACTAGCAAATGTTGGTACAAATATCCTGGTACCATTGATCTACTTGACTCCTTGCGGAAGAAGAATATCGTTTTAGGAGTAATCTCGAATTTTGATCAACGATTGGAATCAATTCTCGAAGACATTCGAATTCGTCAGTATTTTACCTTTGTTTTAACCTCGTATGATTTCGGAAAGGAGAAACCAAGCTTGTCAATATTTGAGGAAGCATTAAGATTAATGAAATCTCATAACGAAGAAGAAATATTACCTCAAGAAGCGATGCATATCGGCGATAGATTGGATAATGATTATTTTGGAGCAAAAAGCGCCGGATGGAATGCTTTATTAATAAAGCATGACAATAAGCTTGATGAGAGTAAACTGCCAAGGGAAGATGTTTTTAAAAATTTGAAAGAGCTTCAAAGACACTTTGATAGTATGCTTAGAACAAATTGTATGATACAGTAATAATTAATTATTCAATAATTATTTATTTGGTTTTATTTATATATATGTATGTATGTATATGTGTATATATATATATATATATATATATATATATATATATATTACTGAATAAATCTAAAATAATTATACAACAATAATAACAATAATTTTTGTGAAAATAACTATACCAAAGATAGTAAAGAATAGTCTGATAAGAAAAAATAAGTTAAATATGTAAATTCATTAATTTATACATGTTGAATATTTTTTTATGTTTTTCACGTTTATGTATTTATGTACTTGTGCAATTTTAATTTTTTTTATTATATCATATATGCATTTTTCTAAATATTTAGTATATCTCTTAGTACACACGATTGAGTCATTTCACTTGAGTGTCTTGCACTTCTTTTCTTTTTAATTAGAGTAATCAATCATACATCAAGTAATCAATTATAAAATTTTTTTTTATATTTACAGCAATTTTTTTTTAATATACAACTTTGTAAATACTTTCTAAACATGTTAAAGTAAAAATGTATATATAAGAATCATATTTAATAATTCTTATATATACATTTGTTAAAATGATGAAAATTAACTGGAACAATGAATGATTCATCATGCGTAGTAAAAGAAAATCATTATGTATATTACAGAAATATATATAGGTATTACAAATGTACTTTCTATTATAGGTTTATCGAAAAGAATTTATTGTGAATACATTTATAGACATTAAGAATTGAGTTGATCACAAATATATATTTATGAAATGTACAAACTAAGATAGATATTAAAAGAATATTTACGCTATAATAAAATTTTATAAATTACACGCGCATTATTTTTTATAGAAATAAAAATTCTAGTTGTATAATTCCTTATTTATATATCAAAAATTGAAATTCGTTAAAAGAATAAAATAGAAAATAAAAAAATCTGTAAATTACAATTTAAAATTTTATATGTAAATATATCAAGACTGATGATCACACTATATATGTGTATATTTATACCGATACGGAGACGGAAACTGTTGGAAACACGATCACGATTCATAGATATTTAAATGCAGTGCATATAATCGGAGTGTATACAATCGGTGCAGATTCACGTGTCGAGAGACTGCCTACTCGAGGCATTTAAGTGTGCTGTAAGCATACATATATATACACACACGATCCGACGTTTGCGTAGGCGGACTGTGAGAGTTACTGAGAACGAGCGTAGGAGATCGGGAATTAGGAAGGGGCGATGCGAGAAGAGAGCAGGAGAGAGCCGGGAGGTAGACGCGTGCAAGCGGCGTCGTGCCGTTACACTCGTTGGTGGTCCACGGCGAAGCCCACTCGCGCGTCGTCTGGCGTCGTCCAGCATCCGATCTATGGAAGGTTAATGGAAGGATGTACGATCGATAACGATCTCTCGACGGCGGTGATCTTCGTCGATGGACGCGCTGCCTAACCTCAAAGACAGCCCTGATACGTCGATCGGTTTTGTGAAGAGCGAGAGGAGTCTCGCCGAGTGTTCGGACAGACATTTTCTTACCTCACGGGGATAAAATGAGGGGGATCGGGATATGGGGCCTGCTGTCGTTCGTGGGAAGCTGCGTCGTTCTGGCCGATCCCGAGGCCGATCCTTCGGAAGAGCTGTTCAGTCGGCTGCAGCTGCCAAAAAATCGCAATGAGGACAAGTGTTATGATGAGAACGGCAAGCCGCAGGTTTGTTTCGATTGTTTACTTATACGCACATTGAATTTAAAAAAATGAAGAATCTATATAGTCTTCATTATTGTAGAAATAATCCTCAAAAAAGAAGAATGTTATAGACAAGTTATTTCATTTAATAAAATTGTGATGCAAGTGAAAACAATGTATTTGTTAGAAGAATTTTGCAATGATGCTTTTCTTTTTTTTTTTTTTTTTCATTAAAAAATGCACCTGGGAGATGCGCAAAAGTTTTTTCTATTTAATATATCTCAATATATTTTGTTTATATTTTTATTAATTTTTATATAACGTGAATCATGAAAAATCTTGTTTTATATTTTAATATTTTTTTAACATCATTCTCAATTATTATGTAACTTGTCAGTTTATGTAATGTTATTGCGTTAATTTTTTAATATGTTTATAATTGTTTTAGAATTAACAATTAAGAATTTTAATATTATTAACATTTTTATGTGACACATTTTATTTCTTCAAATAAATCCTCGTATATAAATATCATTTTTGAATACCTAAATGTGTGGCTGTCCAACTTTTCGCATCTTTAATTAAATCAGTACAATTTGATAGCTCCGTATTTCGGGAGGATGTTAAGGTTATCATGGGGTTATTCTCCAGTTACTTGAACCCGCAGATAAATTGTGTAGGCTACGATATAAAAGACAAGATATCATTCGCGAAGTCCGCGAGATACAACTTCCATATTAGAAATAGATTCCTTTCCTATTTAAATCGCGATTATGAATTGAGAATATTATACTTCATTAAATTTCTTATATTAATATTTATATAGATTTATATAATATGTAATTGTATATATTTAAAAATAATACATTTAATATACATATATATAATAAAACAGTACATTATTTTAATTTAATTAATCTTTAAAATAAACTTGATCATGTTGTATCTGTAAAATAGAGGAGATTGTTTATAATAAACGTATCATTCTGTTGAAAATGTTAATATAACATAATAAAAAATTTTGTTATTAAAAAATATTTATAACACAAAATATATTACTATCTAATTTTAATTTTAATTTAATTTTAAATAGTAATAAATTTCTCTCAAAGGCGTCGTTATATAAAAAATATAAAATAGTACAACATATTGTAAAGAATTTATTATTTATTAGAATTTAACAGAATATATAACTGAACAATATTTTTTAAAAGCAAATTAATAAATATTACGTTAAAACATTTCTTTATTTTATTTAATTTTAATGTAACATTTACTTAATTTATTTTTGAATTATCTAACTACAATACAAATATATGCAAAATTGAACGCTCTATTTGTACGTTGGCGTGTTTTAGAGATGTATACCGCCGTTTGAAAATGCAGCTTTCAACGTGCTAATAGAGGCGACAAACACATGCGGCGAGGATCGTCCAATCGAATTCTGTAAGCAGACAGGCGTGCAAAAGAAGTCATGCGAAATTTGCCGACGCGGCGACCACTCGGCCTCCTTCCTTACTGATCACGACAATAATGATAATGCTACCTGGTGGCAATCGGACACTATGTACGAAGAATATCCCAACCAGGTCAATCTCACCCTCCCTCTAGGTGCGTTTTTATCGCAATATATCCGGGACACCCTGTAGAAGATCTCTATGTCTCTTCATTGAGAGACATTCAGTTTCTGGTTTATACTTTCTCTCTTTTTTTTCTACGTCTCTTTCACTCTCTCGTTTATACACATACTCTCTCTTTCTCTCATCCTACTTCCTTATCTATGAGGATGTATGCGCGATGAGATAAATCATAACAGCGTATAGAGGATGATGAAGAAATTACAGAAGAGCTCTCATGAGCTTTAAAAGCAAATTTATTATTATGAATTTATTCTCGTTTCTAATTGATTTAAAATCTAGTTTGGAAGAAATTGTTATAATAAAATTCTTAGTTAAAATATTTTAACTTAGGAATTTTTATTATAATGACTTTTTTTAATTATAATTTAGATATTTTAAGCAGTTATATTAGGTGGATCGCCTTATACACGTATGTGCGCAAAGGATGCATAATAAATTAAATTAAATTCAATTAACAGCTTAGCCATTGAAGTATTCCTGAATAAAAATGACAGATAATACATTTCAATTCACTTTTAAAGCGCAAGAATCGATTTTTTAAGCCTTATAGTGTTATTTTTAATAAGATTTGTTATAATTCATTATTTTATTATATTTTTTGCTTTAAAATATGATACTATTTCAATGCAATTATAGTGATTTTTCTGTCTTATAAAGATTTATTTTTTATTTACTATTTATATATTTTAGATTACTTTATTTTATATTATATATATATAT